TACGCACTTCACACGCATCACACACACACGCAGGGCACGCGGACGCACGCACGCACACATATGCATGTTGTTCTATCGTCAACAGACTGTTACTGCCAAAAGTTTGAAGTTTACATCAGTAGGAATTTGCATAACTATAGCAAGCACTCATGTGTTTGTTGAAATTCGATCAACTATACGATGTTCACATACGCACTAAGAAAATCTTTTTTATTCATGTGGATGCCTAGATGTGATTTATAAGAATGCTTTCTTGCAGATTAGCAAAAATGCCTCCATCGCTGTTCCTACGTATCGTTACGACGGGAAGCGCTGCCCGAGGCAGCCCGCTTCCCGGAATCAGCGGCCGACGGGACGGTAGAAGCCTCCAGGTAATCCCCACGGTTAATGCTGAATACCTTGAAACACGCTTACGCCCTCGTCTTCACGTTTCGCGTACGCGCTGCAGTAGAGAGTGTGCAACTTAAGAGATGGCCGTGCCATAGCTAAATATTATTTTATTTATATAACAATTTATAAGCCTCTCTCTCTTCTCTCTCTCTATATATAGTATATATCTATATATATAACATATATATAATATTATATATATATTAGTCTTCTCTCTCTCTCGGTATTGCTCTCTCGTTCCTTTTTTTCTTTTTCCCTCTCTCCGCCCTCTCTGCATATCTCTGCATCTCTTTCGCTCTCCACATCTCCTTCGTCTACTTCCTCACTTATGATCTTGATGCTCCCCCCCCTATCTCGTTCTCTCTCGTCTCTTCTCTCGCTCGCTCGCAAGCTGCTCTTTATTTCAATTTCACCCACTGAATAGCTTCGATCCTGTCCACCAGTAATGCAAGGCAGTACCTCTGACAATTGACGGAGAACAACGCGAGAGACGCCCAAAACGCAACTCGAGTTGGGCTTCAAAACCCTTGTAGACTCGATGGCGGCCCATCAAGCCTCACATTCAATTGGTTCTCTTCGATATGTAGTTGCTACAACTCGTCACTGACATTGAAATGTGATACTTTCTGTTCCCCGACCTGTTTTACGCGGCCATATTTGGTTATCGTATTTGTTCAAGTCCTAGTGACGCGAAACAGCATTGAAGGAATTGCGCACTTTGATCGCCCCATTCTTCTTCCTCCCCCCGTCTTCTCTCGGGTTATCTTTTCCAAGCGCGCTCGCAAAGCCGTGGCGGTAAACTCATCATTCTCTTTCCTCCCCTTCTCTCTCTCTTCTCTCTCTTCTCTTACTCTCTCCGTCTGCTTCTCTCTCTCGCTCTCTCTCTCTCTCTCTCTCTACACCTCTCTCTTCTCGAAGCTCGCTCGTCTCCTCTCCTCCTCTCTCTCATCTCTCCTCTCTCTCGTCTCTTCTCTCTCTCTCTCTCTCTCTCAGTCCTCTCTCCTATCTCTCTCTCTCTCTCTCTCTCTCTCTATATACCCGCTCTGACATTAAAGTGAAATTATAATATATTATTATAGTATGTCTCTTTTCTAACAATCTATTGTACATTAGTGATTTTAATTTTTATTCTTATCTAATGATAGTAGCATGTATGCTACTATACTCTGAAGTAAAAAGTTATATATGGCAGGCAGATCCGGGGGTTGTTGGCGGGTTAGTTGGGGTTTAAGTACACATGTAAGTTTTATTTGTCTTTTGAAATACTCGGGTACTACTATATAAAAATAAAAAAAAGATATTATTTAATATTTTTTTAATTTTGCGGGGTTTTTTTCCGTGTTGCGGGGGGGCTCCCTATATATACCAGGATATGAGGGGGGTATAGTGAGAGGAGAATAACCGTTTTGTATGGTAGGCGAGGCGGTGGGGGTGTTAAAATGTGTGTATCGAGGCGGGCGGTTCATAAAACAGAAAAATGATTGGGGCCTGAGGAGTACGGCAGGAAGGGCAACAAATTCGCGAACTTACTTGCGATGTAGGGGGAATTTTTTACCTGGCGCGGATCGTGTGTGTCCAGTGCCGGGTCACTCTGAGGATGTCACCACCTCTGCGGCAGCTGACGTGTCTTCGAAATCCCACAAATGTAAAGGAACAAGCCGAACGTGTATATTTTCGAGGTGAGCGCAAACCCATAGCAAAATTAAGAAAGCTTTTTTGGTACAGGTAAGTGAGGCCCTCACAGATAATAATTACACGGCATTCGGTCTTGTTTACAACATGGAATAAAGTGCACCTGCAATATGCTGCAACGGCAGGCAAACTTTACGGGTGACCTATTACTCCACCCAGGTACGTGGAGGGTGCAATTGCTATCTGCGAAAATGTAGGTTTCGGCCATCGCCGATTCTCTGGCATTCATCTCGATTCTTGATGGGAATGCAAACGCTCTTTGAAGGGTAACATATACAGCATTTATACAATAGACTCAGAGTTTATATCAAGGCCCCAACACCATGCAATATGTATTGCATTTAGACAGTAGTCTTCGTTTGATTAAAGGGGAACTAAACGATTATAGATTAGCTACTGTAAGCATCCAAAAACGGGAAAACCGTCTCTAGTTTGCTAAAAAAAATTGATGTGTTCAGGTTCTTTTTTTTCAAACCAATGCTGTGTACGCCTATGGGGGGTTTAAATACTCACTATGTGGGTGTATTCTAAGTGTCTTTTGTATTTTGTGCTTTATTTATTGCGGTATGTCGTTTGTTTTTCTAGTTACTTTTTATTCGCGTGAAAAGATCGCCCAAAAAATATCTCAAATTTTAGATTATATACTCGCGTATTTGCGCCAACTGATTGTTATATTGTTACGTGTTTCGTTCCGCTCGCTAACCCAGACGCGCCCTAATCATCGCGCGACTCGCTCCAGCCATTGCTGCCTACAATCAATTTTTTTTTTTTGTGTGTGTGTGTGTGTGCTGCGCTGTGGCGCTGGATCTTTAAGAAAATGTGGGGCTAGGAAAAAGAAAGCAAGCGCTCGCAAAGAAATGTCTAAAGGGTTTTGTCTCCGTCGACACTCTCAAAGTGCACAGATAAGCAACTCTTTCTCTTTTTGGAAGATGAGTTATATGGAAGAGGGGAATTTGAAAAAATAATACTAAGCGTTAATAAGTTCCATTTACCATCACGTACGTGCGTGCGTGCGTGCGTGCGTGCGTGCGTGCGTGCGTGCGTGCGTGTGTGTATGTGTGTGCGTGTGTGTGTATGTGTGTGCGTGCGTGCGTGCGTGCGTGCGCGCGTTTGTGTGTGTGCGTGCGTGCGTGCGTGCGCGTGTGTGTGTGTGTGTGTGTGTGTGTGTGTGTGCGTTTGGAGTGGGAAATACAGTAATCGCACTGAACTTGATGCAGAGCATATCACGCATGATTAAGAAGGCAATACTGCCACTTAGCATAAACTCTGTTTTGCGCCATCGATGGCTAAGACAAAACCCCATGTTGCCCTCGCGTAATAATTATCCGTACAATGGCATAAATATTAACATAATTAGATAGAATAAATCACTAAAAAATCATAAAACTTTAATGACTAACGCAGGAGGTTATTTTTGCCATCACATACACACGTACGTACACGTATATATTATATGTTAAATAATGTATTATTTGCTAAATAATGTATTATTTGTTAAATAATGTATTATTTATTTATATAATATATTATTTAGCGTATAAAGTCAATATTTGCTAAATAATGCCTTTATATAATATATTATTTATTATATAAAGGCATTATTTAGCAAATAATTACTTTATACGCTAAATAATGTGCTAAATAATATTTTTATCGTTGGCACCCCATACGCCACCACGCACTCTCACACACATCCACATACATGCGAATGCTCTCCATCACGATCAATATTAATAGTTCCGACTGGTTGCATTTCGGTCTCGTGAAATTCCTTAGGGTAGGGGGGTCTATAGCGGTTTCCAAACGCATATATTTAACGAAACATGCGCGGGTGAGGACACGTCTATTTTGGGTTATATCTCTCAAGCAATGTGTGCATGCCATGCTTTGATCCTCTTTGCGCATCTCAGCACAATAATGTCTGTATTTGAACGCACGTTATGTGGACCGCTTGTATCACGGTGCTTCACTATATCTTGCTATATATATATTAGAATAGTTTCCCTGCAATCATACTTGTCAGTAATGATTGCGTATCCACCGCCATGCACCGAGAACACAGTTTTACAGTTCGTGTACATATCGTTTCAAATCGACAACAATTTAGATTCAATTGTCGGAAATGCGCACAACGTCTGTCATTATTATGCGCGTCAAGAGAATTGATCACGCACGCATCATCTAGGCACAAACATACACAGCACAACCCAACGACTAAACACTCCTGTACAGTCAGTCGCTCTACGGTCGGAGCCGTTATTACGTTACAACATCGCTATATAGCTAGCCCAGAAAAGTAAATAGGTTACGAAAATCTCCTACTATATATATATAATAATATATATATACGGTATATATATATGCGTAAAACTGTACTGATACCGAATCAGGACCAAGTGAAAGGCGCAGGTGCTCCCTTCATTTTACTATTAGTTGTTAGGTGTACTGCCTATACTAATTCGCACTCGATTACACTGACCGCGATGATACCCAAATGATCAGCTTAATCTGATTCACCGAGATTCTGATCCGAGTTCACCGATTCGGATGACGTAATCTGTAATCCGAAACGCATTATACGACACATTTGAATCTGCTTGCTTATGGTGCGTTTGGACCAAGTGCTGTTAGCCTTTACTATGACCAGCGCGAGTGCTCTGCGTTCATGCACGAGAATGAATCAGGTTCCGTATCAGCTGAGATTTAATAAGCAAGGATTTTATAGGTATTCTAAAATTCTTTGCGATGTTAGCCACGACAAGTCCATGTCATGCAATGTGAGTGGATCGCTTCGTAGTTGGCGACCAGGAATCGC